TTCAAAGAAATTGAAAAGGAAGCAGTCCTCCCAAAATCATTCCTGGAGGCAAGTGTTATACCAAAAGCAGGGAAAGACAAAACTTAAAAAGCTACAGGCCAATCATCCTCATGAACATAGATGCAGAAATTCTCAATAAAATCCTAGCAAATAAAGTACAGCAAATTATCAAGAAGATTATGCTCCCTGATCAGGTGCGATTCATCCCAGCGATGCAAGGATGGTTGAATATATGCAAATCTATGATTGTAATACACTATATCAGTAGAGCTAAATCTAAAATTGATGCAGAAAAGGCTTTTGATGAAGTCCAACACTCATTCATGTTCAAAGTCCTACAGAAAATTGGAATAGATGGCCTCTACTTCAATCTGATAAAAGCTATCTATGACAACCCAGTGGCTAACATAATTCTAAATGAGGAAAAACTGAAATCTTTTACTCTCAGATCTGGTAGAAGACAAGGATGTTCTCTATCACCCCTCTTATTCAATATAGTTCTGGAATCATTACCTAGAGCCGTTAGACAAGAGAGAGAAATCAAAAGAATAAGAATAGGTAAAGAAGAAGTTAAATTATCACTATTTGCAGATGACATGATAGTTTACTTGCAAGACCCAAAAAACTCCACCAAGAAGCCATTAGAATTGACACACAAATTCAGTAGCATAGCAGGATACAAAGTCAGTACCCAAAAATCAATAGCATTCCTCTACACAGACAACAAACACGCTGAGAGGGAAATTATAGAAACAATACATTTTACAATAGCACCACAGAAGATGAAATACATTGGAATTAATCTAACTAAAGAAGTCAAAGATCTTTTCAAGGAAAATTACAGTACTCTGAAAAAAGAGATCGTAGAAGATTTCAGAAAATGGAAAGATATTCCCTGCTCCTGGATAGGAAGGACTAACATTGTGAAGATGGCCATACTCCCAAAATTGCTGTACAGATTTAATGCAATTCCTATCAAATTACCACCAACATACCTCACAGACTTAGAGAAATCATTCTAAAATTTATTTGGAACCAAAAAAGACCTAGTATAGCAAAGGCAATCCTGGCCAACATGGCTTTATTTCCTATATTTCATCTTCATACTTTTCTACTGGATGGTTAAGACCAAGGTAAAGCAGGACCTATGCAACAAGAGTTGTAGCTTTTTGGTCTGAGAAGGTCAATGAAATACCCTCAGGATTTATCCTGAGATCCTGTACCTCAGATTGTAGAACCTTTGTCAGTGCAGCCATGTGGATGAGTCACGGCCATTGCTTGGCCAATGTGCTCTCTGTGAAAGCCTGAGAGAGTGTCTTCTCCCCATGTGACTCTCCTTAGGCACACTCTACATCATCGATCACTTTCCTCTTTGGCCCCATAATCATCTTCTTTTAAATTAATTAATTAATTAATTTATTTTGTGTGTGTGTGTGGCCAGCTCAGCCCACCAGGGGGCGGGGCTGGCTGGCATGTGGTGCTGGGGGATCGAACCGTGGTCCCAGTGCTTTGCTTAGCTTAGCTTGTTCTAAGTGGGTGCTTTAGACCACTGAGCCATCTCACCAGCCCCCCATAATCTTCTTGATCAGAAAATTTGGGACACTACCGAGGTACATGACATTACAGTACAAGTTCTCATATGTCCTGAGTCTTAATGGACCTTAGAAGGCTAGGGCCAAAATGTTGGCTTTCCTTGTATCCCTCCTTTTTCTCTAATTTTGGTCTGCAAACTTAGGTTGTTAACCATCCAGAAGACAAGCTTATTGTTATTATCAAACGATTTAGGCTATCAAGCTTAACCTCACTATCTCACTGCATTTCAAACATCTTAGGCAGATTTGTTCTTTTTTAGCTTTAAAAATGTATTACATGATTCAGAATTTTGAAGTCATATTAATATAATGAAGACATTTGAAAATGGTCCTAGGAGTTTGCTCTTACTCAGTTTGGTAAAGTATTTTCTAGCTCTCTTAAAACTAAAGCCACCATTATAATTTCTACCTTGCTCCTACTGTGGTCTGTCACTGGCAATATGTTATTGGTTTAAGATTTTATTTTATTTTTGGTTTAAGATTTTAAGTGGAAAGACTCTCCTAGAGTTGAGAAGAAGTGCAAGGAAGGGCTTGTTAACTGAACTCTAGAATGTTTCCACAGAATGGCAGCCTCAGTGGAAGAACACCTAGGAGACATTGTAGATGTCTTCTGGGCCAGGGAAGACTGGTTGATGTCGTATTAGCTGTATGTTATAAAATGCATAATTTTTTCATTCATGTTAAAAAAAAATCACTTTTAACTTTTCAGAAAAAACAAGGAAAGAAATGACAACCAAAGGTTCTACAGCAGTAGATAGTCTGCTGTCAACATTAGAGGTAAATGATATAATTATTTTTTTAATTATGTAACTAATAGGATACAGTAATGAAGGAATAAAACATGTACACACATGAAATATAAATTTTTTTCTTACAGATTAAAACCAATGGATGAAAACTGGTTTTATGTTTTAGATTATTATTTGGAATGGTGGTATAAATATTCTAGTATTTATTAAACATCTAATATTAGAATACATTGCCATTAACTCCTCAAAATACTTCCCCTTGTTTCGAACACACTTGTTCCATTATTTTGATTACTTTTTTTTTCAAATTGTATTTGCTTTTTTTTTTTTTTTTTTGTCTCTTTGAGACAGGGCTTTGATCTGCAGTCCAGGCTGGCCTTGAACTCAGGTTATAGCCCAGGCAAGCCTCAAACTTGTAGCAGTTCTTTTCCTTCAGCCTCCCAAGTGCTGGGATTACAGGTGTGCGCCACCATGCCTGGCTCTTGGCACTTTCTGAAGCAGCTGTGGGAGTCCTTTTCTGTGTCTTTCGTTGTGTGCTATCTTGGATGATCTGATATTCTGGATCAGTTCAGCATGGAAAGCTTTCACGGTCATTTAGGATTTGAGGAGAACTCAGAAGTTGTGCAGTGCCAGATGTTTATATGTAATATCACACACTTTGTGTATTTGAAGTGAGGGGGACTATTTTGAGGGAGATTGATGGCAATTCTCTTTTACTGTAATAAATTTGTTAAAACTTAAATACTCATTTTTTAAAGCATACATTATATATTAATGATAATTGAATATAGTAGTGTAAAAGTTGAGTAGGCTAAGGTAGATGCATTCAGAATCAGGATTCTATATTTTATTCTGTGCATTATTAAGAATAAGAAATGAATTCATGTTCTTTGATAGAAAGTCTTAATGACATAAACATGACGTTTCTCCCTAAATTGATCTGCCATTTTAGAGCAATTTCAATAAAATACCAACAGTCTTGCTTTTGAAGCACACCCCAGTGTCAGGGGCCAAGGGGTAGAGGGATGAGCAGAAATGCATAGGACTTTCCTAAAAAAGAAATGAGAAAAGACTGTCTCTGCCGAATATCAAAGAACATGGTAAAACTTTAATAGCAGTTGTGCATGTAGATAAATATCAGTGTAATGAAACATACAATCCCAAAAGAAAATGCTTAGGAGAATTTAGTACTGAGGGTCAGCCAAATAGTTCAGTGGATTAAAGCACTTGCAAGCAGGCATAGTGGCCAGGAGTTCAATCCTCAGGCCTGCTGTGCTGGTCCTGCCCCTGGGGTGTACTGAGATGGCAACTGAAAATGAGTGTGGTAGCACGTGCCTGTAATCCCAGCTCTTGGAAGGCTGTAAACAGGTGGATCACTGTGAGTCCAATCTAATAGTGAGACCCTGAACTCTCTGTAGACCCTTCCCTACAATACAAAAA